GATATATCTCATGATTTATGGTATAACTTTTACATTTCAAATATTTATTTGGTAATAAATTAAGTGGTTTGTGTTTAATTGTTACCTATTAAGTAAGACAGTTATAATTGTGTCATGAAAAATATAAACCCGAATGCACAAACCCTCTTTTCTTGAGGCAGTAACATTTTATACAAACCTTATTTTCACTCTCTTCTTCCTGCTACCAGAACAAACCTACAATTTAAAAATTAATGTGGCATACAATTGCACTTCTAGCCAGTTAGTATCTATCCAATGAAAATGTTTAAATCAAATCTAGTTATGAGTTTTAAAATATTACTTTACAAATACAATATATATATAATAAATGTACACAAATTATAAAAAATATTATCCTTTATATGAACCGTATAATTACTTGAACGAAAACAAATATTTTTGAAAAACATTAATTACTTCACGCACAACTGTAAAAAAAATATTCATATAACATCAATATTAGAAATATCCATTCTTATAAATATAGGCGTGTAAATAAAAAACTCAAATCATGTTAACTTAAATATGTACAAAAAATTAGTCATTATTGACTATTACTCGCATAATGAACTTACCAGGTGACCCAAATCATAGGGCCACTCCTTGGTTTTAGATACATATTACAACATTAGTAAAATGAACTATAATTACACAAATTTCATAAACAATATTCGTATTACTTTTGGTTTAAACAAAAGTGGCTACAATTTTCAAAATTCAAATTTAACTTATTTGATTTTGCATTAATTTTGTACACCTCTATGCTATTTTGAATAAAACATATTACATGGTCACAATTTTTACAAGTATTTTGTTAAAATTAATGTATATTTAATGGTTTTCTGAGATTCTTGTTTGTTTAAAAAAAATCATATGTATTAGGTATCGATTTGAAAAAAAGAACTACAATTTTGTGACTTATTGACCTTCCCTATTAGAATAAAATTATTTTTAGACCTAAGTTTTTGAACACTAAAAATGTCATTTATGTGGTTAAAACAGCAAAATGTTTGAAATCTAATTCTGAAGTAAAATAAAAAAAATATAGTGTCCTATTTAAATTTCTAATATGGTGGCGTGTTAAACAGATTTTTATCCTACAAGGTTTTTTATTTGTAGATTTTTAAATCTACCAAATTACACATTTATTATTATTTGTTTCATAAGATATCTAATAAACAAGGTATATACTACGGAGTAGGTAGTTTTAAGTTATTTTAAATATAAAAAAAATGTCCGTCTTCAAGGAAAATAAATGTTAAACTGTATAGATTCGATCACAAATTTTTGTTGTCTAATAATTGAACAGGGGATGGGGACTTCCCTTTAACATCAGCCGTCATCTTGAATTCAAATATTATACTAAATTACTCACTTATCTCACCTTGGATTAAAAATTATTGTTAAACCTGATGAAATTTAATTCTCTACAGACAGCATTGGTCATGCATCATTCATCCTCATCAAACGATGATAGCCGAAATCAGGATTCCGAACTGCTGATATTGTGGTAGCAACTACTATTTTATGGGCTACATACCCAACTAGCATTAAATTATACCGCAATAACCAGTAAATAGCTAATAATTATCCAAAATGAAAACTAAAAATGATGTTTAAATATAATTAAAATAAAACCATCTGATATAGTGAAATTGTTACAATAATTCTAAATTCACCAACTGACCAAGACCAAAACGTAAAAATAACTGCTACAAAGAGATCCTTTTGTTTCCACATTTTATTCAGGATTGTTTCATCAGGTCGCCCCCTTTACAACAGAATAGAAAATATGGGAGCCAAGCAGAGATGATGCCCAGAAGCTCAAATATCAATTCAAAAAATGTTTGTAATTTACACCCCACGTGCACGCAATCCGTGGACACACTGTATATAATTTTCTCCTGTATATTTATTAATTCCATTTGCAACGAGGCTACCAGCTCCCCTTACCTCTGCCTCTGTTGTATTTGTAAGCTAATTCAGCAAAAATTTACCTTCAATTAGAGAAATCACAGTCCTAAGTTTTTTTTATTTTTTGCTATAATATATCTGGAATTCAAATTGTTCTACGATCCATATTTAAGGGAGTTTTTACTTAAAACTAGGTGATCTATCACCTGGTAAAGTTTTTTGATTGAAAACTGAAACATGCTGTAAATCACTGTAATTAGAAATAAGCGAGGAATCAAAAAATGACAAAAATATAGGGTGTGCACTGTGCCATTTAAAGTAACAAAAATTTGGTTTATGTTATTGAAAATTGTTTTTTCATATACTTCTTTGAGATAGAAACAAAATTTCCTAAACATTTAACATTTTTCCTAGATACAAAGTTAAACGCAAGAGGGTTAGAATGTTATGTGAATGACCCTGTATATGACTGGGTTATATCCTACCATAACAATTTAATTAACAAAATTCGTCTCTTTCCGTGGCTCATGTTCTGAGATCTGACGGTGTCAACTGCACTGTACCCAGAACTTGAACAAACTGAACTCTCCAAAAACTGCGAATTAGAGGGACCACTTATATCTAACGACAATCGTATAAGAAAAGTGGTTGATTTTTGAAACTATTTAATTTGTGGCCTAATTTACACAAGCCTGATATCTAACACCAATGTAAAACGGACTACATGAATGACTATATAGTTTGGGTCACCCAGTATAATCAATTTGCCAAATATTGCTAAAACCAATACATTAAAAAAAAGTCACTGGATAGACAAGGAATATAATTGTGATATAATTAAAAAAATAACATAATAATGACTGTTAATTCTAATAAAATTTCACTTCTTTTCGAGATGTACTTTTTAGACCATACAGTAGGGTAGCCCAAAAAAAACGAAAATTTTTTTTTTGGTGTCTTGTGAAAATATGTTACTTTATAATGTTTGAAGAACCCCCTCAAAAAATCAGCTCAAAAAAATTTTTTTAGAGGTCGCTCAAGATTTGCAAAAATTTCCAAAATCGTGTAAAATTGAATTTTTTGTTAAATTTTTTTTTCGTTATTTTATCATTTTCTAGGTTGAAAAAATCTCTATTCTGAAAATTTCAAATCGATATTATAATTTCTAAAGGTCACTCATAATTATTTCAACTTTAAAAGAAGTATACTTAAAATGTTTTCGAGCGACCTCTAAAAATAAATATCAACGAACTAAGCTTTTTATTGAATTTGATGAAAATAATAGAAATAAATCACGACACTTAAAAAATTTCTCGATGCAAAATTTACTATCGTACTGTGTATTTATGATTTTTTAAATTTAACTGTCTCGTGATTTATTTCTATTCTTTTGTTCATCAAATTCAATAAAAAAAATTATTGGTTTGTTGATATTTATTTTTTAGAGGTCGCTTGAAAACATAGGTACACTACTTTGAAGTAGAAAATGATAAAATAATGAGAAAAAAAACATTTTTTTTAAATTCAATTTTTGACAATTTTGGAATTTTTAAAAATCTTCAGCAACCTCTAAAAAAGTTTTTTAAGGGGGCTCTTAAAACATGATAAACTAACATATTTTCACGAGAGACACGAAAAAAATAATATTCGTTTTTTTGAGCCGTTCTAGATCCTACTATACAGGGTTAGTCAAAAGTATGGAAACTCCCAAAAATCTCAACATTTTTGGGATAAATGGTGACAAGTCTCAGCATTTTTCACGGCGCATCCGATGGTAACCTTGACGCTGATGCCAAGGTCAAGGTTCAAGGTCATATCAAGATCAAGCCGGTTTTTTTAAATGGCGACCCTCCCTTTTGATCCAGAAAATGAAGTGCAGAAAATTCTACATCTGAATATGACATTGACCGTGACCTCCAGATTAATGGTAAGTCAAACGGCCATTTTTACTGTAATTTTTTATTTTTAACTACGGAATTGGAGGGAGTGACAGTCTTTGAGTAGATATCTAATGGTACTTCTGACCTTGATCTTGAGATCACTAAAAAATTGTGAGTCCCTTCTATTTCATCGTCATAAACAAATAATGGCAACCGGAATAATCACTTGACATTTATCTGACTTGATCATTGACCTTAAGGTCACGTTTAAGATTATAACATGTAGAATTTTACGCTCTCTTATTTTTTCTAGCGTCGAAGGGGATCGCTACTTCAAAAACCGATATGACCTCGACATGTTCTTTCGACCTTGACATCGAGATAAAGGTCACTAAGGAGTACCATCAGGTATCTACTCAAAGACTGTTACTCCTGATTCGGTAGTTAAAAATTACAGTAAAAATCAACTTTTGACCTTGAGGTCATGGTGAATGTCATATTCGGATGCAACTTCTCTACTCTTTTCATTTCCAGAATAGAAAAGGAAGGTCGCCATTTAAAAAAATCGACGATCTTGATATGACCTTGAACCTTCACCTTAAGGTCAAGGTTACCATCGGATGCGCCGTGAAAAATGTTGACACTTTTATCGTCACCGTTTATCCCAAAAATGCTTTTCTGCTGAGATTTTTGGAGATTTCCATAGTTTGACTAACCCTGTATGAGTATTTAAATATTTTCGCTTTTTGTAAGTTACATTATAGAATAAATATGTAACATTCTCCGTTTTACTCACGAAATTATGAAATACAAACTAATCGAGTAATTGCAAACATAACAGAAATATCCAAAATAAAAAAAAAGAAAAATCAAAAGTACGAATATTTCTGATTTGTTTTCCAGCTGCAGTCATTTAAAAATGAAATGTATGTAAATATAAAATTTGTACATTGTCACAGCCACATTTTAAATTTATATATAGTTATATAAAATAAAACAAATGATAAAAGGCAAAGGAAAGTTGATTAAATAAATAAAAATCCGTTTTTGTGTCTAAACTAGTTTTTATGTCTAATGCATACATTCTTCTTTTTCTTCTTCTGTTGTCCTCTTCTTTCTTCTTTTCCTTCTGAAGCTAGCTTAAATATAAAAGAAAACTTTTTTTTTTACTAACACATAAGATAATAGATATCCATACATTATATATTGAACTTATCTATTAGCACACGTTAAATGTACTAGTTTTACAATACACAAAGATGCTAATTAGTGTCGGGAGCGGTGGCTGTCCTCTCCTCTTCGGTCCCGTTCTCTGTCACGGTCGCTCTCTCGTCGTCCAGACTCACGTTCGCGTTCGCGATATCTGTCTTCATAGTAACGCGACTTCGGGGGTACATCTCCAGCGGCGTCCACTGGATCAGCAGGAGATTTGTTTCTTGATCTTGATACACGTGACCTAAATTACAATAGGAAATTGATATATGCAAAAATACTAATACATATTGTCTATTTAAATGTCTACATGGGCGTATGCGAAAACAAAAAAAATGTGAGAATGGCAGAACTTAAAAGGTAATTTAAAAATTATGCAATTTTCTGTTTTAAGTTATAAATAGACCAGGCAAGTTAGACAATAAATCAGAAAATTTTTTCTGATTAACCAATCGAGTTGTGGTTTTAAGCATTGTCTTCGGAAATATATCAGGAAAAAAGTCTATCATTACACTTTGGGGCTGGATCGAAACTGCATTGCGGATGCATAAACTGCATCTTGGAGTGCATCAATTTTTCCGAATTTTCTAAAAATGGTAAAAATTGACTAAAAGTTGTAGAAATTTGTGTGCACGGGTTTTCGGTGTCGGAGATTCCGAATCTGACCCTGAAAAATATGCCCGACAGCCCTGGGGCCCCCCAGGGGGGCAAGGGGGGGCTTCTGTAAAACATCGAATAGCGTTATTTTTTGAAAATTTGGTCGGCCATCTTGGATCCGCCGTCTTGAATTTTGCATAATTGATCTTGGATCCGTGATCAGTGATCCCGAAAATCAAATTTGGCGAGAATCTGTTACCCGACCCCAAAAACCCCCGAGTGGGGATTTAGAAGGCAATTACTCAGCTATTCGATGTTTTACAAAAGCCCCCCCTTGCCCCCTGGGGGGGGGTCAGGGCTGTCGGGCATATTTTTCAGGGTCAGATTCGGAATCTCCGACCCCGAAAACCCGTGCACACAAATGTCTACAACTCTTAGTCAATTTTTACCATTTTTATAAAATTCAGAAAAATTTTGATGCACTCCAAGATGCAGTTTATGCACCCGCAATGCAGTTTCGATCCAGCCCCAATGTGTAATAGATGGACTCTTTTCCTGATATTTTTCCAAAGACAATGTCGAAAACCGCAACTCGATCGGTTCATCAGAAAAAAAATTCCGTATTCTGGGTGATTTTGGTCTAACTTGCCTGGACTAAAGGAAACGAGTCCACTGCTATGCTCCTTGGACTCTCGCATATTTACTTATACGAGTACTGAACAAAAAAAATTAAATGATATAAAATGTCAGTCTTTTCATGTTTTTGTTGTACAAATGTGTCAAAAATCATAATAAATCATATAACTCATCCATTTGCACCATTTTGATGTATTTTTTATCATATGAAATTAGACATACTAATTTCAGAATGACAATGTTTCATTAAATATGAACAGTAATTCCTTATTTACACTGATTTACAAATTATATGGAAAATGAGAAAATTCAAATCCGCCTAAAATACATATTGTAATAATGGTTACCAATACATAAGTGCGAAAAAATTAATTAGGTAATTCCTTGTTGAAAATTAAGGTATGACTTTTAAGTAAAAAAAAAATGTGCGGCCTATCAAATAGAGACAAAATTTTCATTTTTAAATTTGTCTTTGAATTGCAGGAAATAACACATTAAATTATGTACAATTTTTCTACCACCGAAAAGGTATTTACTAGGTATTTTCTTGATCTTCCCTATTGAAAGTACTAATGACTGTGGACACCAACACAAAATTAGAACACCTTTGGAAAAAGCAGAACATTTCATTGAAGAACTGAACACCAGAAAAATTTATAACCCTTTCACATATGAGTCCAGGTTCTTTTACCTCGTGGTTTTCAGTAATGTCTTTCTGGAAAAAATCATCAAAAATCTTGAATTTTTGGCATAGATCATGGTTTTTTAAGAGAATCGATAATTATAATAAATACAAGCGTACAGAAGAAAATCCTCATGCCATACCCAAATTTCATAATCAACATCTGGATGTGTGTGGAGTTCTTGAAGATCACTTAATTGCCCCACTATTTCTGCCACCTAGATTGAATAGAAATATAGGTACTCACTTTCTCGAAGAAGTACTTCCAGTACTTGTTGAGAATGTATGTTTACATAACAGAGTTTAATTTTGGTATATGCCTGATGAGGTTCGTTATAGAAAGAGAACAACCCATCAGATTTGGTCTCCTCAAACACCCGATTTCAACTTTATTGATTTTTGTAAATGATGTCATTTAAAGAGTTTAATAAACATGACTCATGTCCAAGATATTCAAGAATTGATGAACCACATTATTGAATCACATGGTAATTCAAAATTTTCTCCAAAAATTTTTAACTGGACACGTGGATCAATGACTTGGCATAATACCACAGTAGCGTAGTCGGTCGAGCATGCGGTGGTAAGCATTTCTCGGCTAGACTTCCTATTGTGGTCCTGGGTGGTAGTCAGCGATTTTCAATTTAGCCCCCTTCCGCACAGCCTTTGGCTTTGAGGGGTTGTCTCATTTCTGTGGTGTATTTTATGTTTATGTTTAACAATTATATGGTTTTTCGTTTATAATTAAGGTTTCTTGTAATTTATTGTGACCAACCCATACCGACGAAAAAAGTTATGGAAGAAATTACTTGTGACTCAAGGGGAAAATCAAGAAATGGACCCGTAAATGTATTTTGGTAATAGGAAAAGTGTACATAATTTCATTGTTGTAATTCTCAATATTTAAAGAAAAAAAAGACCTAAATTCTTCTCCCCCCTTAAGATCGATAAATCCTCGGGGAGGTAATAGAGATATTTTTTTAAATGAAAGAGCTGCCTTAATTTTCAACAAGGAATCACCTCCGGCATTTTTTCGCTTTCTTTTATTTACACCCTAAATATCTGTAGAGATAACTTAAAAAGGCATGTTCAAATACAAAGTTGTAGTGTAAAGACATCGACAATAAAAACATGACAATATTATGGCTAAGGTGTAAACAAATCATATACGAAAATAATAAAAAATCACTTAGTAAATTGTAAAACGGAAATGCTCTTATAAATTTTAATAACGATTTCTAAATGAACAGCCACAGTGTGATAATCATGTGAAAATTATAACCAACCCCATTTCTTTCATTATTTCTAGAGATGTCAAAAAAGTGTGGAAATAAAAATTATAGAAAATTTATCAAGCTCCTTAATATCTATCTAGGTTGCAAGATCAATTGGATTATATTACAGGTAACATAAGTTTTTATATAGAACATGACGAATATTTTTATATACTTGTTTGAAACAATATATGATCACGTAATATAGGAAGAAATTATCATTTGATACAGAATCAAATATTTGTCTATTGCACACTTTTAGATATATCTTCCTCACTATTACAGATCAATTTAGCATTTCTCATATCACTGAAATAAGTAAACTAAATATTTTGTTCAAAATGATACAGTATTAAAAATATAAATACACTTCACAAATAATTTCCTCTCCTATGAAATTAGATCATAAAGATAATAAATAATATTTCGATTTATTGCAGATTGTGAATTTCATTATATATTCCTTGTTGCAAAATGAGAACGGTCATAAATTACCAAATTTAAATTTCGTAAATTTTTATAAATACATAAATATTAACTTAAAAATTAATATCAGTTACAGAAAAGCATTGAAACCAAAAGCCATTTCAATATTTTGTAATGGGATATAAATGTCTGTTATATACTTTGCCAGACTTTAATGATAGATTCTACGTCGCAAGTCAATAGAAAAAGTTCCTATAAACATGTCTCCAGAAATGCTTCATTATCACATTCATTCTTCAGTGTAAAAATTAAAAAAAAAATAATTAAAATATCTATTAAGAAGCTTGATTTAGATTGATGATACTATCGATTTAACTAATTATAGGCAAAAATTTTTTGACTCGCTACACAAATCTGTTAACCAGTGTGGAGATATACTGGGAAACATCATTATTAAGAACATTCGATGCCACTGAATATTTTGGATATTGGATAAGTGCATTTATTTTTTGGTTAGTATTTCTAAAAAAAAGATTTTTCAAAGATATAGTAAAGGGTATAAGTAAAAAAAATCATTGAATTTGCTGAAATATAGTAATCCCAAAAAAATTTAAATTGCTACACCAGCTATTATTTTAGTATTTAAAATTACATTTCCAACAAAAACTTTCTAATTATTTAACGTGAAAAGAATATTTTGGAGTTTTGCAACTTATTCAACAGCCGACTCATTTTTAAAATTAACCAAAAAATTATGTTTTTTGAATAACATATTTTTTCTGTTGGAATTACTAAATATCCACTTCACAAATTATTCAGTGGTTCTGAAATTTTAGGGTTTTTAGTGACAATGTTTTCAGTATCTCCACCCAAGTTTTTATTAATCTGTCAAGTATATGAAGAGATATTTAAATAAATAAAATAATATTTATTTTACATTACAAAACCCCTTAATCTTGAAAATTAATCATTTCCCAACATGTTTATAAGAATTTCTTTATTGTCGATAAAGTATGGTAAAGCATACCATTAGCTGATTAGCAAAATAATACGATAACATATTGTGACAATAATATACAACAAAAATAAATTAACCCCTCGATTAACCCTTAACAACATTGTGTTAAATATTGGTATAAATTATAGTACTTCTATGGATAACATTACATTCCAATAAATTTGTTTAAATAAAACAAAAACGGCTAGTACAATTATTTTCCCTAATCCCTCTATTAGATCAAAATACCATTTGCGTTACTTTGTTACAACTTCATCAATATTATTTAAAACCGACTATGAAAAATCAAAAACCTACCTAAGAAACAAGATTAAAGCAATTAAAAATTTTCTTTTACAACACTCATCATTTTCATTGTTCACCATTATTATTAAAATTTCCTTTATTAATGATTTGTGGCAAAAATTGGAAATACAAAAAATTTTTATTGCAAAATTATAAACTATTTTTTTTAAATTTTGAAAATCATCACTTGTGTAAATCACTTGTACTGCACTTTGTACTATTTTGTTGTTAGAAAAAATTAATAGAAATATATTTATTGTAGTTTAAAGGCATTGTGAAAATACAAATAAACTACTAATGGGGTATATACCACCTTTTTAGATATTAACAGAAAATGAAATAATCCATCAAAAAATTTGCCCTGTATTGTTATTATTGTATGAAATCAATATTTTACTAGAAAATAAAAAAATATAAAATTAAAACGAATTCAGAATAATCTATGTACCTACTAATTACCCCTCATTAGTTTTATCGGATTATAAACCTCCGCTTTTAAAAAATATAATTTTGTTTCAAAATAAACATGAAAATAAATATGTTGTATCCCACATAGTAAGGGTTAAGTTAACATTAGCGATGTGATAGTCACACTTGACTGTGATTAGTTTTAAGTTAATTTTAACAAAAATTAAAAAAATAATAATTATACGATTTATTTAAATATTTCGTTTTTGCTTCAATTATTATTACTTGTACATTTTAATTAGCATAAAAAATAAAAATTAACTTTTTTTTTCATTATGACAGTGAGATGTTTTTCTCCTGAAAATATTTCACAATGTGGGAGACATCATATTAAATAGAACAAGAATGTGTGTTTCCATGAAACTTTGAGATTATTATTTTTTGTATGGTATATGTATGATTTTAAATGCAGTCACTTAAACCTATAATTTTTATAAATTTCACATTCAATTAGAACAATGGTTTCCAAACTTTTTGAAGAAGTGAACCCCCCTCAGACAAATTTGCACTGTAATGTTTAGCAGTCCTAAAACCTTAAGGGTGTAAGTTTGTTCAATTTGAAATGACATCTTTGTACATTTTTCAAAAAAAAACTCAATTATTACTATCAAAGATGGGTTATAATTCCATTTTTAAAAAGTCGTACCCAATTTGCAGAAATTCTAACTAATTTAAAGATTTTTTTTTTTTGAGATACATAACTGGGAAAAGATAAAATACTAGATTGCAAACACAGAACCTATACATTTAAATAAGTTTCTAGAAAACACAGCATGTTTATTTTTCATGATTTTTCAAACATAAAATAGATGCATGTTAATATATTTTTTATTCAACTTTCGACCCCTTGCTACCTCTTTTATGTCACTTAGGGGGTCGCTCCCACATTTTGAAAACCACAGTGCTAGAGTGTACTTAAGGTGTATCATTAAAATTAATAAAAGCAAAAGGTTTTATGCCAAACAAAATAATATAAAATTTTAAGTAAGCAAAAAATATTTGTGCACAATTACATAAAAATTATATTTGTATTTGATAATAGGCACATACTGAAACACAATCATACGGACACACTGAAAACACCATAAAAGTTAACTTTTTACAATCACAGTCTATTGAATATATTTTTAAATATTTTACTGCAATTCTAGATGTATAAGTAATATAAAAAATGTGCTTTACATCAAATTTATTTAACTTTCTTTCTTTATAGTTTGAAAATAAAAAAATATGACATTTCAAATTCAAATAAAAATTAAATCTATATGAGTCTGACACAAAGTAACTGGAATAAAAGTATCATTAAACGGTTTCAATGTGTTCAAAAATACATATAAATCAAGAGTAGGTAAACTAAAATAGTTTAATTTTATACAATGAAACAGAAGTAATTAGGAAGTAGGAAGATAAGTGAAATATAGTTTTATGCTGTTATACTCTTTTATTTGGACGGTTGGATATTTGGGAGATGAAAGGGTGATAAATGAACAAATTGATTATTTATATTCAATACACGAAAGAATAATCCTACGAGTATTCCATTCAAAAGCAATTTACTTCAATTTCATAACGTGGAATTTTTTACACAGAAATTTTTTTTAAATCAATGAGATGGAGTTTTAAATTAGTGTAACAACAAAAGAAATAATGATACATTAACAACCACCGCCATTTTTTTAATTCCCTTTCATACAAATTGTGTGGGTTAAGCAACTTAGAACATTTTTAGTGAAATTTTCCAGCATAAATCCCTATTCTTATTTCAGTTAATCTGACCTTTAACGATATCCAACAAGCATTTGCTCAATTACAGGTAAGGAAAAAATATTTTAATAAAATATCAGTGATTTTCCTGTAAACTGTTGAGACAAAGATAAGAAATGCACACATTGACATATGATAGTTGTTTTTCAAACAAAATTGCCAGAGCTCATTCCTTATGCAATTTTAATAAATCCTTCTGAACAGGTTTTCTCATAAATCGAACAAATAAATTAAAAAGTAAATTATAAATTAAAAAAATACTTATTTAAATTGAAATTAAACAGATTGAAGGACTTTAGTTGACGGTGTTTTGTTTATGTTACTTTTACTAATAATAATAATAATTACTATTAAAATGAAATTACTAACAAAGCAACAATTACTGTCTTTGTTAAAAATTTTTTCCTTCTTATACCAACTTCTTTTCCAATTGGGTCTCTATTCAAATGTCATGAAAGGGCTAGCTTTTATGTATAAAAAAAATCATTTAATCCTCCAGAAAGACCTTGTATACAGGATGAATCTCAAATTTGTACATATTTTAACTACGGGTATAATTCGTGACATAAATGTATTTAGTAAATCATTTTTAATCCATCTATCCACACGTACATTTTGAGATCCACTGTCCACGTGGAACCTCATTTACCTCAATATGGAAACCTATAGATGGTGTTATTTCAAAAGAATGCAGTTTTATGGATTTTTTTCAAAAATTTTAAATGCAATGCTACAGTTTTCTTCACATGAAGGAATTCAGCACAAAAAATTGATGAATATAGTACAAATTTAAAATTTCTAACGAAAGTGTTGTTTATTTATTGGCACTATTTATCCAAGTTAGGTTATTTCACATTTTCTTAAAAAAGTGAAATAGCAGGATAAATAGGTTATTTTGAAGAGCATAGAAATACTTACATTTTGATGTCAAAAAGGGTTCGATATCTTTTGTTGTTATCAAGTTATTCGCAAATTAGTAAGCAAAAAAATAAATAATGAATTGAGGAACACGACGATAACGAAGACATTTAATTATTTTTAATTGTCAGTGTTACCAGAAACAACTACTCCGTGGGCTATATGTCCCTACCGGCATTGAATTATACTCGCAACACCTAGTGCAACAGCTAGGATCGTTGGTCAGTTTAACCCACCAGGCACAGATCGGAAATAAGTCCGAAACCGGTCTGTGCCTGGTGGGTTAAACTGACGAATGATCCTAACTGTTGCACTAGGTGTTGCGGTAGGGGCATATAGCCATATTCAATGCTGGTAGGGGCATACAGCCCTCGCAGTTGTTTCTCGCAACACTCACAATTAAAACATTGTCTTCGCCCTCTGTGGGTGGCAGTTGTGCAACAAGTACCTGCAATATAGCAGGTCGCTTCCTACTGTAGCCATTTGAATGGCATAGTTGGAAGTCAGCACGACAGATGGAGCCATTTGCGCTCCCGCGTACGAAGGCATTTAATTACCAAAACAAAATGCATTTACAAAAGAACCAGCCTAAGCCCACGCAAATGAGTGAGTCAATAACAATCTTGAAAATAATAACAAAAACAATAACAAACACATATTGATATTATGTAAAGAACAATTAAATTTTAATAAAAGTAAAGATGTTTATAAATGCTCACAATTATTTTCAATACAGGTATTTAACCTTCACTGCGTATCAAGTTTAGATTGATTAAAATATTAAATTTCGTTATACACACAATTTTTATTCTTATTGAAATCTCCAAAAATGCACCGTTATTGAGAAAAACATAATTGACTGTTCTAGTCAATCAGCTCATTTATTACTGGTCATCCTGTACATTAAGAAAGATAAGCTAGTTGACTTTGGGACAGTCGATTGTTTTCCGCAAAAAGAAATTATATTTTCTGTGATTTGAAGAATACGTTTTTGTGTATGATGAAATTAGTAGATGGTGAAAAATATACTTGTACCAAATATCAACATAATACAATGCTTTTTGAATAAATTTTGAAAAAATAAAAAATATAAAATATGGTTACAATTTCATTCATGCCAAAAACAAGACGATAGGCCCACAGTTCAAGAGAAAAATCACCTAACTTTTTATGCTCTAACACCCTTATCAATTTTTTGCAGTCATTTCAGAAACATCCTGTATATGTACGCATTTAAGATTCAACCTGTATTTCATTACTCTAACACCTGCCATAGCACCATATCATAGTTAATACATTTCTCAATCTCCGATTTTCCATCATACTCACTCGATTCATCTTCAAATTGATTCAAATAAATTTATACTCACGTGTCCTCCGGCTCTCTCTCCCTGTAGTCCCGTTCACGTTCTCGCTCCGCCCGTTCTCCTCTGCTTCTAGACCTATCCCTCTCCCTGTCGCGTTCCCTGTAACTATCCGCGTAGTATCTATCGCGATCGCGATCCCTATCCCTATCACGTTCGCGCTCTCTATCCCTGCTCCTATCGCGGTATCGGGAGGACGACCTTTCCCGTCTGGCTCTCCTGTGTGATCTATCTCTCGACCTGGACCTGTCTCTCCTGCCCGAGCTGTAGCTCTTATCCTCGACGCCTCTGAGGGTGTCCTGTAATGAGCTGATCAGGATCTTGCAACGGTCGTCGTTTGCGACTTTCGACTGTTTAATCAGAGAGATAGCAGTGACGAGCGTTTCTATGGCGCTAGCGTACTCTCCCGCAGCGGCATCCGAAACCGCTCTGCCGATGGCAGAGGAGGAAACGGTTCTGTTCCTCGACATTATGTCTTCGAATTCCTGTTCGCTCAAAGGAGGCATGTCGGGTCTGTGATCTGGCGGGGGACCTCCGTACGGAGCGGGCGGCATGTTGCTTGGAGGGCCGTATCCGTGGGGAGGACCATGAGGAGGGACAGCGGCGGGGCCCATGGGAGGGCCGTGCGGAGGTCCATGCGGCGGTCCATGTGGGGGACCTTGCGGAGGACCCTGAGGCGGCATAACTGAAAATAAAGAAGGTTAGGACATGGAAAAAGGGCAAAATAAATGGTTGGTGTATTGACAATATATTTTTTAACATGTACACTGTGGTACTGAGTATATGCGTTATACAGGGTGTTCGGCAAGTACCTACTAATCCATAGAGATTGTATAGAAGTCAAAATAGCACAGCCACTATAATTTTTTACATAATGATCCCCCAATCCTCACAAAAGTAACTAAGAACTTAAGTTTTGGGTTTGAACTTTAAAACCACCTTGGATATTTTGATGTTCCGACATAGTGTATTAAAGATAAGGTTCAATGGTTTGACGTTTCACTATTAGAAAGTTCATTGATTTCGATAAAATTAACGGTTTTCGAGATAAATCAGTTTCAAAAAATTTATTTTTTCTGGCAAATTGTTTCATGTACTTCGTTTTTATTTCAGTAATTTTTCCTATGTTCCCAGCATGCATGATATAATCCAAAATTGTTAAAAATCTGATTACAATTTTATTATTCTCAGCAATAGTTTTATTCTGGCATTTACAAACATTGAATAAATTAGTTCTTTTGGATGACCCCACAGAAAAACGTCTAATATATTAAGACGAGCGACCTAGGAGTCCATAAACATGGTTACCTCAATCTTTCATTTCGTGTTCTCCAAGTTCCCGTTTTGGATCATAGGTGCTTATAGTAGATCGTATTTGATGCAAAGTAGAGCAAAAAGTTGTCGGTCTTTTATCAAAGGAAAATCGTGTCATCATTTTTAGGAGACGTAAGATGAACCATTTCAAATTTATAATGAAATTGAATGTAAAATCTGAAATACCACCGCATACGCACTGTGTTCTGATAGTAGCTGTAGTCACCAAGGTGCATCGAATGTACGAAGTGGTTGGTTATACATCAAATATAGCTCCAAAAAACAAGTAAATAACAGTGGCGCATACAGAGGTAAAATGTAGTACATATTATGTGGAATTTAAAAAACATTGGATTTATAATAAATTACATATAAAATAAATACTTTATAAGAATAAAGGAATTTTTGTTGGAACAAGGGTGCCAGACATGAACTGATCCCTGTCCCTTCATAATGTATAAAGAAATTATTCAATTTCTAAAACCCTTAAAAGCGTACTGCAATGGATCCCTAGACAGGCAATGATTTATTACTTTGTACTGAATATGATCCTCCTATAGTACGTATTTCAAATTTAGTAGTGCTGGTTAAAATTGCATCCTATTGATTACTAAAGGCCTTTGAAGTAAGTATTAACCTACTAAACAATACAATCAATATGTGGTGCACAGTACCACATGTAGCTCATTTTTAACACTTGCCTGTAATATTTAACTTGTTTGTCTTAAACTATTTCTAAAGCTTTTGAACAGGAAATTTACAAAATAATTTGTAAAAAAATTGAAGTTGATGTCCTTGACCTATTCATTTTATTAAAATAAATGAAGAGTACCTTTTTTAAAGAAAAATCTTCAGAGTAACTAAATGCAATATTTTCAGTTTGATAGTATGACAGTTGTCAAAATTTAATTTGTGGCTAGTGCTTTTCAGGATACTTTGTAAAAGAGCGGTTTTAACAACAAATTATAGACACTTATTTGCAATTCACCACATCAAAATTTTATCATAATATGGTGGTTCCAAAGTTCCAAGAATACTAAAAAAAAAAAATTGTAGGGAGTAGTAATCTTATTTTGAACTCTCATATATGCTCCCAGGAGATTAATAGATACTAATTGTACACTGTGTACCTATATCCACAGTTAATATGACACATTTTGATTAAAATCACTAACTTTTACATAAAAAATCATGACTGTCAAAAAAACTGTTCGGGACATTAATATAATTCAAAATCAAATAATTTTTCCTATAATGCAGGAATCCGTAAAAGAAATCAATGATTGGTTTTTATTAAAAATGGACAAACTTAATGACTTCATTTTCTTAAACAATTAAAAAATATGTACAATGTTGTAATATATGATGGCAACTCGCTGAAGGATGTGACTGGATGCCATTTTTAAATTTAAAACTATGTTTTATTATCTTTATACAGTATAGACTCTTTAAACCGAATATCCACTAATCCAGCCCGACGACCAGACGTATGCCCATTTCAATGGTCCGAACAAAACTCTTTAATTCAAACAAAATTCGGTTTAACGTATATAGTTCGGATTATAAAGTCAGACTACATAACAAAAAGTAACCGCTAAAAATGTAATTCCCCGGCAGCCTCGGAGAAACCCTTTTATGCGAGTCGGAACCTTTCTCGATTAGATCTTTTTAGTTGAAATATTATTGCCGTGCAAACATGTAGATATTTATACGACATATTTTACGATAATGTTTGGTTTTATTGTTATTTTTTGCCTTATTATATTATATGTATGTACATAAACAAATTTACATATGTACATATTTACTATCCACATCCAGTAATCCGAACATATCGGTAATTCGAACTTATCTCTTTAAGCCCGTGTTTTAATTAGTTCGGATTAAAGAGTCTCTACACTGTATTTCCATCTTCATCGAAAAACAATGTTTGAAAGTGTTTTTCATTTTATAAAATGTTTTTTACTTTTATCATGCTTTTTTATATTCTATTAAATTTTGTTCTAAGTAATTTCACACTGAAATGTTGACTTTGTCCATTTTTAGAAAAGAAACATCAATGAAAGTATCATTTTGATAGAAATTGGTCACTGATACATACTAAGCTATAAGAAAAAAATAAAATATACCGCGACTACATACAATTTGTAAAAACTAAAATTGATCTATAAATAACAAAAGTGCTGAGCAAACTGTGCTCTCCCATTAATATATGACAAATATCTAGCATTAAAGGATAAATCATGACTTCCATAAATCATTTAATACAAAATACGAGGAGACCCAAAAATAACCGGACGATAGTCGCTGCGCACAGCTCTGGTGGTTCGGGCTTCTCCTGCTAAAAATGGGTGTTACGTAACTCCTCTCAAGTCAGTCTGCCAATTGGCATCTCTTGAGACGGTTCTTCCCTGCCCATGAGACAATTATTTCGACCTCTTCAATTTTTTAAAATGGTTAATATTCGAGTACAACGTGCGACATTGAACTTTTGTTTTCTACTCGGTAAATGTACATCGGACACCACTGATAAGTTGTCTACAGCTTATAAAGAACATGCCTTGAAGAGTATGAGTGGCATTCGTGATTCAAACGTGGCTACATATCGATCAGACATTCAACACCCAGGTCAATCTTCCACGTACAGAACTGATGAAAACATGGATTTGCGTGATTGTGTACACAATAGAAAGCGTACTATTGATGTACTTACTAAATTATCTGGTCTTTCGTAGAGCTCAGCGTAATGCATTTTAGCCGAAATTTCGAGTGTTTGAGGAGGTTGCGCGAGTGTTCCGTGAAACAGTCCAATCTGTGGAGTGGGGTGTTCTTCCACCATGACAATGGTTCAGCCATCTCCGTGCGAGATTTTTTGGCAAAAAAACACCACCCCGTTTCCTCACCCACCCTACTCACGTGATCTGGCACCCTCTCATTTTTTTTTGGTTCTCTCGGATGAAAAGGGAGCTTAAGGAGGTTCGATACCAAAAGAAAAATGGTAAGAATGTTTTTAAAGCAATTGAAATCTGTTAATAAATATGCAAACTGACTTGTGTAAAAATATCAGATCGATTGACAACGTAGTTTTTTTGAAAAATGATTTTAAAAATTATGCTCTTTTACACAGGCTCTTATGGGAGTTGGGAAAAAACTTTAATCAAACGTGAATATTGCTCTTAAAAATGGTTAGGATCGGAAAAATAAAATTGTAATTAAAGAATTAAATATTACTAAACATTTTAAAACAATAAAAATATGCACTTACAATGTAATTATTGAGATAATGGAATGAATATATACTGTTTTGACAAATTTGAACAAACATCTGATCCAATGAACGGAAATATGGCAACACTGTACGCTGTATTTAATGCTTCGACTGATGCGTTATACGTATTTGAATAGCTCGATTATAGATTATAAAATTATTCCAGTCGAAAATATATGTAGTAATAATTAATATTAAATAAACTGTTCGTGATCTACAGCAATATACTAGCAATTTGAAACAAAAATTGAAAGGATCTCTTTGCAAAACGAACAGTATATATGTTATGTCATAATCTTCAATTTGACAAGTCGACGTCTCACTATCATACACTGAACTTCTTGATAGTTATCATATGGATTCTCGGTTTGCACATTTTATTTTATTCTCATCAATCCACATTCTGTTTTACACTCATTTTATATTACTTTTCAGTCATTACTTTTCCTTTGTACCTTGGTTGTCCATTCATGTTTACGGAATTCGCGCAAAGTTGACAGTAATGACAGTTGACACAACTTTTACCACCACGCCATGGCAATGTTGCCAGATTTCATCCATAATTTTCCAAGCTCGTAATGAATAAATAGACGCTTTTATTCAAATAAAAAGTGAACTGACGCGTATTAAACACGAAAAAAATATGCAAGCTAATATGTGTTGTATAAATTTCATTCTAAATAGCATATTTAGTTCGCTGAAATTAATTTATGTAAAGTTGGTACTGCAACAAGACTCCCGTGTATATACATAGGCATACTCTCCCCACCGCCCGCCCCGGAAGAGGTGTATCGAACGCCCTTAAAGGGAAACATATTGCAGACATTCTAGAGGTGAAAAGAAAATCGAAGATGGCATTACAAGGCATTAGAAAAAACGAGTACGAAAGGAGTTTGTCGCAGTGGGAGAAATGCCCTACTCACCTGATCTGGCACCCTGTCATTTTTTTTTGGTTCTCTCGGATGAAAAGGAAGCTTAAAGGGAAACGTATTGCAGACACTCTAAAGGTGAAAAGAAAATCGAAGACAGCATTACAAGGCATTGGAAAAAACGAGTACGAAAGGAGTTTGTCAAAGTGGAAGAAATGTTTGAACCAGTGTATTATTAATGGAGAGTACTTCGAAGATGACTAATGTTTGTACCCAGAAAAAATAAATTCTGTATTCTTTTATTCTTTAAAAATGGTGTTATTTCTGGATCCCCCCTTGTATGAGCAAGTGAGGAATAAAGGATATCTTTTTCAAAATCATAAATATTTTCCATTCCATAAAAATAATGTAACTGTTTTTTATTTGCCTTTAATAGAAATCATGATTTTAACCCTTCGTGAATTGCATTTTTGTATTTTGCTATGGATTTTTAATAACATTCTTAAGGAATTCAAAGCCATTCATGACTGTCAAAGAGAGCCAAAAAAAATAATTTAGTTACAATTTCTGTAGATAGAGAATGTCAAAGGAATTTTATTGACAAAGTATGATAAAAGACATATTATGCACTGTATCATACTACACATTTAAAAAATCACCGAGACAGATCAATTTTAACATTACTAATAAGATCAATATTTATTTCTGCTTTTTCATTTTTCTATATCGAGTAAAAATTACTCTAAAAAAAGAAAAAACAAATCCGAATTTACAAACACCCTGTTATATCTTTTCCATTAAATTAGAAAGTCATTGAAAGCAGTACCCGCAGTGAACATGTTAAATTATAGCATGAAAAAAAATAACCATAAATACCAGGCCCTGGCCCTTGCATGTGCTGCATCGGTGGTGGAGGACCTCCCCCTTGCTGAAAGAATGCCGGATTAACATGAGGCGCTGGTCCTTGCGGAGGACCTTGTGGCGGACCACCTGGCGGACCCATAGGTGGAGGTCCTCTAGGGCCCATATTTGGTCCTTGCATATGAGGAGGTCCCTGAGGGAACCCTTGCTGCATTGGGGGCCTGTTCCAGTCAGGCCTCATGGCGCCAGGTGGAGGGCCCTGAGTTGGCATGCCCCTTGGGGGGCCCTGGTTTTGTGGAGGGCCTTGGAATTGCTGAGATACATCGAATAAGCATTAATATAGGGTGTCACGCTTAAATGTGATACAAGCCTGTAGCTTCTTTGTTTTTTGACTGATTTCAAAATTCTTTTTTTTAGAATGTAGGATAAAAAAACTGCTGAATGAGAATACGTAATCTGTTTTTTGGAAAAAAAATCGCTAATACTAATGAGCTGTTTTTATGTCAAGAAAACACGTCCTAGTTGGCCATGAACGCATTAATAAAAACAGCAGTATCACAGTTAGATAGTTTTTTACCCTACATTCCCAAATAAAAATTTTTGAAATCGGCCAAAAAATAAAGAAGTTACAAGCTTGTATCATATTTAAGCATGGCACCCTGTATATTTGAAATTATTACACTGCTTATTTTTTTTTGTGAAACGAACAACAGATGCTTAAATTATCAATCCTGTGATAATTTAATCATCTTATATTTAGATATAAAGGGAGTTTTTAAATGAAGTAGCAAAAATGGTATCACTGAATGTAGAGCTAAAAATAAGAGGATTGATGTAAAAATACCTTATATGAAAGTTGCACCCCTGAGGCGACATACCCTCTTAAAGGAGGGGATTGAAATTCACATTTAAATTTTTTTCTTTAACGTCAGGAATGCTAGAGACACGAAACTTGGTATGAGCATCCTACTAATAAAGAGACAACTTTTTAATATTTTTTCGATCATTGGCATATTTTATAAAGGAGTGAAATAGTCAACCACATTGCAATATTTTATTAGAAATTTTTTATATAAACCAAACAAATATTTATCGGAAGACCTATTTATTGCGCAACTTTTTTACTTTTTTTATAATTTTTCGATAAAGCCGATAGTTTCCTAGTAAAAAAATTAGATGTGTCATCGTTCACTAAAGGGGTAATTGCGAAAATTTGTAAAAACAATAAATTGTTATTTATCATATTAATAAATTGACACTTTCTGTCAATAAGCTGGTAATTTAATAATAACATTAAGAATAATTTGCTATTAATTAATGAAAAATGTTTGATAACTTATGACTATGGGACATGTATTAGGTAAAGTTATTTATCTGAAATAAAATTTAATACAAACGAAAAACAAGAAATGCAAAATTAAATTTAAAGAATATTCTCGAAATAATTTCCATTTTGCTGCAAGCATAACCTAATACGTCTGTTGAAGTTATAACGCACTCGCACAAACAGTTCTTGGTTATTGCGAAGGTCATCTGCTGCCTGAAATATTCTTAAGCGTAGTTCTTCTAAGGAGGCAACAGGAGTGGCATAAACAATACTTTTTATGTGTCCCCACAAAAAGAAATCCATAGGCGTTAGGTCAGGTGAACGTGCAGGCCAACAAACAGGGGCATCACGACCACGACCAATCCAGCGATTCGGGTAATTTAAATTTAACCATTCTCTAACGGCAAGTGTACTATGTGCAGGCGCCCCATCGTGCATATACCACATCACCTGACGTGTAGCGAGGGGTACATCCTCAAGTAATGTTGGAAGATTTTCGTTCAAAAATCTAAGATACTCGGCCGCTCCAAGCCTGTGTGGAAGAATAAAAGGACCTACTAGAGTATTTCCTACAATTCCCATCCAAACGTTTAAACTGAAATTATGTTGACATCTTGAAACAAATATTTCATGAGTATTTTCTTCCGACCATGAATGAACATTATGAAGGTTTACTGCACCTACTCTAGGAAAATTTGCTTCATCGGTGAAAAGTATATTCATTAGGAAATTTAAGTCATGCCTGGAAATATTAATGTACCATTGACAAAAATCCACGCGGTTAGGTAAATCAGGGTCATTCAATTCTTGCACGGGTTGATGGTGAAAAGGGTATAAAAGATTTTCATGAACTACATTCCACACAGGACTGTGAGAAACTTGCAGTTGCCTGGACACCAGTCTTGTGCTTGTATCACAGTCTTGTTCTAGATGTTCCAGTATAGCTTCCTCAGTTTCAACAGTTCGGCCATTATGCCTTCTTCCGGCACCCTCATGATTGGGCTGAATTTTACCAGTTTCACAAAGCCTTCTTTCCACCGAGGCCAATGGTTGTCTATGAGGAATCGGTCGGTTTGGATATCTTTGTCGACATATTCGTCATTGGTATAAATATAATTTGCCATAATTATTCTGATAATAAATTAATCAATTGGTACTAATTTCTTGTTATCAGAAAGTGCCAATTTATTAATACGATAAATAACAATTTATTTGTTGACATCCGCCTACTTTATTTTTACAAATTTTCGCAATTACCCCTTTAGCGAACGATGACGCCTCTAATTTTTTTAATAGAAAACTATCGGTTTTATAGAAAATTTACAAGAGGTAAAAATGTTGCGCAATAAATCAGTCTTCCCAATATTTTTAAATAATTTGCTTCATATAAAAAATTTCTAATAAAATATTGCAATGGGGTTGTCTCCATTAAAAAATATGCCAATGATCGAAAAAATATTGAAAAGTTGTCTCTTTATTAGTAGGATGCTCATTCCAAGTTTAGTGTCTCTAGCACTCTTCGTTAAAGAAAAAAATTAAAATTTTACATCAATCCTCTTATTTTTTAGCTCTACATTCACTGGTACCATTTTTGCTACTTCATTTAAAAACACCCTGTAGATATATGTATTGGTACCTTTTTCTTTGAAGATTTTTATTTTTTTTTTAATTTTTGTGCCATAACTTTTATAAGCTGTAAGTATACACTATAAACTGGTGTGACTTTGAAAATGTTACTCACCATTGGTGGTCTCGGCGGTCCCTGAGGTCCTGGCGGAGGTCCACCCGGCCGCATAGCCATATTTGGTCCGGGGCCATTTGGTCTCGGACCGTTCCACTGAGGGTTTCCTTGGAACCGAGGGGGCTGTTGATTCATATTGGGAGGAGCGTTAAAACCTGGAGGTCCTTGCATTCTCGGGCCACCCTGCATACCAGGAGGCATGGGTCTCATAGGTTGATTCATGGGCATCCGACCAGCATAATTCTGCATAGGACCTGAGTGAACATTATTATTAGGATGGCTAGGATGTTGGGGTCGAGAATTGGAATTATTTGTAGGAGAAGGACGGGTTTTAGACTGACTTTCAAAGTTACTGAGAGCCTGTTTGGTTGGAGGGGTGACAACGGGACTCTGGCCATTTATTTCCTTTTTCGGCAGTAATTCTAAGCATAGCCTCATGCTGGCTTCCGAGCCCAAGGAGATAACACAAAAGCCTTTTGACTGACCATTGGCACGATGCTCAAAGAATTTTACCTCGTGAAAATCATTCACACCAATATCGTGAACTGCATTTGCAATATCTTGATCGGTAGTCCACTGAAATGTGTAAAAACATGGTTTTTAAATTTATTATAGCCAGAATTTAGCAAAGCCTCATAATCTTTTTATTCACAGATTGTATTTATGAATTTAAACCATTCCCACAAATTATATGTGACATTAAAAAAAATGAGAAATCGCGAAAGAAACTATACTCGAAACTATAACAAGGTCATACGTAAATAATGTACTAATTTTGTTAAAACATAACCTAATGAAAAGGGAAAAAATATATATATGTACTGTAAGTTTTAGGAAATGCTTTAATACAAATATATCAAACTATAATGTGCAAACTGTGCTATAAACATTTAGGATAAGGTATTCTTTACTCACCCATGTCAAATTGCCTACATAAAGTTGGTGCCTTCTACCAGAAGAACTGATATTATTTACTATTGTAATTTGAGCCGAGAAATTATTTGTGTTCGCTTCTTCAGTTCCAGTAGACGCAGGTTGATTTGATTCAGCAGGTTCTGCATTGTTGGAAGCTGCTGGTGCCGCAATAACATCATCATATAAATCAACATTATCTCCGCCAAAATCGTCCTAAAACAGTAAAATAAAATTGGTAAACCAAGAAAGCAATGTAGTAATTAGACGCCACCACTGCTTCCACCGGTGAAGAAAAACCAGTTCTTAACTGCATTTTGTAATATCACTCCCTATATATAGTTTTGATTTATTGACAATTAAAAAAGCAAACTAATAAAATATTTTAAAAGTCTTACTTACTTGTGCAAAGTCTTGATCTATATCATCCGCATATAAATCTATATCGTTATCCGCCATTTTACAGACGCGACATACGTAAAATGAAAACGCAATACACAGCGCAACACAACTTTACCGTACACACAATTTCCCCTCTTCACTCTTGTATTAGTGCAATTTTAGTATTTAGTGACATTAGTTAGTTCCTAGTTTGTATCAGTTCTCAGTGGTCTTCGAAGCAGTACTGACAACTAACGAACTACAAAATCACAAGAGTGAGGCGTGTACAAATTTAACTTCCAGTCACGAACAATAAAATGAGTGCACTAAGAGCGTGTGTAGTGTAGAAATTATAGTGCAAATAAAAATTAATAAATAATAAAGAGGAAGTTCTAGCGATGCGTATAACTGCCGGCAAATTTCCATATCATTAAGCCTGTATCAGACAATGCAATTTAGTTGCAGTGACTAAATTGCGGGTATTTTGTTGCGGGGATAAAATTGCATGCTTATTTATTATCACATAATTCTAATTCATGCAATTCAGTTGCCGAGACAGAATTGCATAGTCTGATAAGAAAAATTTCATGGATTCTATCGCAGCAACCAAATTCCTGCAACAAAATTGCACTCTACGAGAGGCCAATCCCGGCCAAGGTAGAAGAAATCCTTGTCCGAAGGGACCCAAACTACCCTCCCTAGATTATAAAAGTCTACCATCCACGAAAAATAGAAAATAAGAAAGATTGGCGCGGAAAATATAACATTTTCGACTGTTTCGAAAATATGCGCCGACGTTCTTTACGAAGCTCTCAACCGACCGCAAATAGCAGTGCTCCCCCGCCATAGCAGATGACACTAAAGGTAGCCATACACGTACAGGATACCTCATGGAAAAAGTCTCCGGGATTTCCTTGAGGATTTCCTCAGCTGAAGCGTTGTCCACACACACAGAGAGGATTTCCTGAAGGATATCCTTCAGGAAATCGATTTGGAATTTTCTCCGGGCGAACACAGTAGTCAGTTCTGTTTCTCGTGGTTTCGCATATACAGTGTAGGAAAGTACCGATGGTCTATCAGAAGTTACGTGAGAGCGATAAAGTAAGCCATAGAAATCCAGAAAATAATGTGAAAATATAAATGAAAATAATCCTAGAAAATAATGAAGGCGTCTAATAGTCAACGCCCATTTCGCCCTTCCACAAATAAGAAGTGGATCTTATTTGTGGAAGGGCGAAACGGACGGTGACTATGAGAGGCCTTCATTATAGCCATCCTTCTCTATCGCATGGATTTCTATGGCTTACTTTATCGCTCTCACGTAACTTCAGATAGACCATCGGTACTTTCCTACCCTGTAT